ACCTTGGCCCTCTGCAGCACTTCTTTGATGACAGTTGAGCCCAGGTCGTGCACAGGCACAGTAGACAAGGCACCATTGAAGGAGCCTGAAAGGGAATGCAGGAGAGGGACATCTGAGCCAGGAGGACCCTGCAGACCCCGGGGTGGGGCGAGGGGTGCGGCCGCATGCAGCTGAGGCGGGCGATGGGGATGGGAACTTCCTTGCCAAAGCTTTGTCCAGTCCGAGGCCTGCCCAGAGGCCCAGTTCAGACCACCAGTGCCGCACCTGCCACTACAGAATGACCCATGGACGGGCCACTAAGCAAGCAGGCATTCGACCTGCGTTGGCGCGCCTGACCTTCCGACTGGTCGGAGCCCGCGCCGGCCACTCACCTATGACGGTCCGCGCCGCGGAGACGATGACCACGGGGTCCGGGCCTGCGCTCATGCCGCCGCTCGGCTGCCCACTGGAAGTCTGCACCCCTGCCTGCAGGTGCAGTAAACCTTCGCGGAGTCCGGCCGGCAGCGCTGGGGGCGGAGTCTATGTCCGCCCCGCCCCCGCCTCGGGATTGCTCCCTGAGCCCCTCACTGGGGCGGTGCGCAGGGGTGATAGGGGTCCCGGGATCAGGGTGGGGTGTTCATCTAGGAGTCATGGATGGTCTGGTGGGGTGTAGACAGCCTGAGTCTCAGGATGGGGAGGGGTGCAGACCGTCCAGGTGTGCAAAGTAGTTGATCCAGGGGGTCCCGTGGAGCAGGGTGAGGTGTAGACAGGTAGGGAGTCCAGGGTTGGAAAGTGGCCTGGGGATGCCTGGTGGAAGGGGATTCCAGTGCAAAAGGCTGAGGTGTTCTGGGACCCAAGGCTGTGGACCTTGGTCGCAGGCAGCTCCCCTCAGATCTTTATCTGGACCCCTGGGGTTGTAGCCCTCCCTTTCTTGTCTCTCTGAGTTTTGTGTATTTTTGAACTGGGAATTTTTCCAAACAACGAAAGCTAAAAGTCTTATCTCTGGTTCAGCCCAGGACTGGAATCTCACTGGCCAGAATTTCAGAACCCAGCCAAGTACAGGCCTGAGGACAGTGTCCTTTAGCTCCTGATGGCTTCATGGTACCCTCCATCTCTTGCCTGGGCACTTATAAGTAGTAGTTGGTGTTGGATGTGAAGAAATGGGTTCTTTTCCAAGCCTAGCCTAACCTTCTGTGGCTAGGCATGGCGGTCTCTTCTGGAAGGGGGTCTCCAGCTGACAGCTCCCATGCCAGTGGCCTCTTTACTAAGAGTCCCTTTGGGTAACCGTCACTCCTCTTTAAAACCCTTTAAGGCCTCCTGTTTGATCAGACTCCCTCAGGGTTCTCTGTCTCCCTCTAGGCCTGGAGTCTTTTGCAGCCTCCCTCACTATCCTGACTCCTCTCTGGCCAGCAGAGCCTACAAGGTTCTGAAAGGACCCCTCTTTCCGCAGCTTGCTGGCCCACAGAGAACCCCATGTCCAGGAAGGCAGACTCCTGTGCTAGAAGGAAAGGGTCCCTAGGCAAGCCTTGAGATTGGTTGGAGACACTGGGCAGTGGAGTAAGGGAAAGACACTGCAGGTTGTGGAGGAAAACACTGGGGACAAGCTGGGGAGTCGTCCAGAAATGCAAAGCAAACTGAAAACAGTCACCAGGACTGCAGAGATGTGGATGGGTCAGATGCACAGAAGCAGCAAGTAGGCTCCAGAGGAGGAGCCATAGACAAGGAAAAAATGGGGAAGTTTCCTTCTAGAGAAATCCTTAAGGTCTGGTGTACCGATGGGGTCGGTGTCTTCCCTGCTGAAAACTCACTGTAAGTCTCTTCTTTCTGGTCATCTGGATTGTGTTCCTGTCCACACACGAGTCCATAGAGCATAGGATACTTTCCCCTGGCGTCATGTTTGTTCTGTTCCATGTTCCTTAGTCTCTGACTGCTCCTCAGGCCAGTCCCTTGGGGGCTTACTCTCCTCCTTCCCCAACTTTGCAGTAGCTCCTTGGGCAATGCCAGGTCTACCCATGGCTTCAGTTACGGGCATTATGCTGACAACTCGGAAATCCTCCTATTTTAATATCTAGGTTTTAAAAAATATTTTATTATCTTTATGTGTATGAATGTATTGGTGGCATGTGTGTAAGTGCACCTGTGTCATACAATGCCCACAGAGGTCAGAGAAGGGCTTTGGAGCAGAACTGGAGTTAGGACAGTTGTTAACTGCTATATGGGTGCTGCAAGAGATGATCAGTGCTTTTAACCACTGAGCCATCTCTCCAGTGCCAAAAATCCTTTAAAAAATTATTTTTATGTGTATGGGTGTATTGCCTGTATGTGTATAAGTGCACCCATGTCATGCAATGTCCGTAGAGGTCAGAAGGTGTTGGATCCCCTGAAACTGGAGTTACAGAAGGTTGTTAGCCACCATGTGGGTGCTGGGAATTGAACCCAGGTCCTCTGCAAGAGCAGCCAGTGCTCTTAGCCACTGAGCTCTCTCTCCAGACCCAAATCCTTTTTTAAAGTTTTTTTTTTTTTTTTTGAGACAGTCTAGGCTGGCCTGGAACTCACTTTATAGACCTGGATGACCTTGAACTCACAGAGATCCATCTGCCTCTGCCTCCTGAGAACTGGGATACCCAGTTCTACCATACCCAGATACTTTTATTTTTAAATCGTGTGTGTCTGTCTCTGTATATGTGTTTGTGAGTACAGGTATGTGCAGAGGTCAGTGGTTTGGATCCCCCTGGAGCTGATGTTACAGGTGGTTGTGTGCTTCCTGATGTGGATGATGAGAACCAAACTCGGGTCCTCTGCAAGAGCAGTGCCTGTACTTATGCTGAACCATCTTTCCGGCCCTCCGAGCGTCTTCTAACCTTGTTGCCTCGTGAGCTGACTGACCCTATTTAAACTTCCTTGGGTTGGAAAGCCTGCTCAGGAGTTAAGGACATAGTGCTGCTCTTGTAGAGGACCTGAGTTTGGTTCTCATCACCCACATCCAGAGGCTCACAACTGCCTGTAACTCCAGCTTCAGGGAGATCTGTTGTCTCTGCCTCCCCAGGAACAACATTCACATGCACATACCCTCTCCCCCATAATGAAAATAAATCTTAGTATTATACTACCTATGAACACACCAAACTTAACACATGTAGCCCAAACTCCTCCATCTACCCCTCCAGCCTGTTCTGTTTAAAATCCCCGAGTGGTGCAGCTGTCTTCTGCTGGCCAAGCTAGGAGTCTCCTGAACTCCACTTAGACTTCACTTCTCCAGAACTTCCTATATCCTACATTTGTGGCCCTGAGCTCTAACCCTAACCTTATCTTTCTGCTTACCTTAGAATTGCTAGTTTCAGGTCCTGTCAAAC